TCCATATATTATCATCCAAAAAAAATTTAATATTCTAACCAGCCATATACAAGTTTATAGGGTAAAGATAACTACTCGTTACCGAAATGGTAAGAATTGAACTTAAAGTTTTTAGAAGAATGGATCTCATTTCGAAGACGACGCATCGCCTTTGGTTTATTGGGTGTTGATTTGTTTTTGGTGAGTGATTTTTTCATACTACTTTGTTTGCTCCCTGACTTCTTTCCGGAATGGAATTTGCTTTATTTAAAATATTCAGTAAATGAAACGAGGAATTCGTTCCTATTCAGTTATAAAAAGAATTTTAATAAATACATCTAATGCAGCTGGTTACACAATATTTTAATAACACATTGTACCACTGGGCAACTGGGAAAAGCAACTCTATAATTAACACTATAAATATAAAGGACTCTGGTCCGTAGATAAGTTCTGTTCATTAACTATCCAGAGATTTATTGATAATTGCAGCATTTATTATTTTTAGAACTTCGTTATTTTAAATATACGTATTTAACATTTTATATATGTACATATGTAAATATTCGGTATTATAGTTGGTTTCGATTTCCTCACCTCAATGTAAAATTTTATTACACAAATATTTATCATTGATCTATTCAATTCACAACATTTTTTACAAGGCACTTCATTGTGCTCTCCAAACGCGATCACCTGCCTGTCCCCATCAAGGTCATCAAGTAAATGCGCTCTCAAGCACGAATCGAAAAAAGTTTTGGAGCATTTTTTATATGAAATAAAACTTAAAAGACAATATAATCAAAAGCAGCAAACAATGTTGCTAGTGAGTGCGATAAATCTGAAACGACGCCCATTGACAGCGTTACACTGGAAAAGCAGGTAGAAATGCCGAGACAGGGCGAAGAGACTGAGCGGAGGGTAAGCAGTAGGCAATGCGCGTGCTCATTGACTTTGAGTGGTCAGGTGAGTTGTAAACTTGTTTTGTTGTTGCGCTGAAGCGTCAGAAAAACTAAATAAAACTACAAAACCAAAATAGACAATGCTAAGAGAGCTTGCCGCTATACTTGAGTTTGTCTATGCAATTTTTTGTGTTGCTGTTCAGGCGTTGTCTCGGCTGCAACACCTTTTATATCACACCAACAAACAACAAAATTTCAACAAACAAAAAAATCTTTTCGCACTTAACTTCGGTGGCAATTGAAACTTAACAATTTCAAGTATTTTCAAAATTTTTTCACATGCCTGACATATTTGCTTACTTGAGTGTTGCCGTTCTGTTGGTGCGTAACTACGTCGCACGATTTGCCAAAAAGATTGTTTGACTTTTTTCGTCCACGTTTCTCAACATTTTATTTTGTTATTTATTTTTTATCACATAAATCTCGATCGAGAGATCGAAACCCAATAGCCAACGAGTTTCGACTCAGAGCGATGCGTTAGAGCAACCCAAAATAGCAAAATAGGCGCAAAGTTGACGTTCTTCCCCGTACCTGTGGCCGCTCAAAGTGAATCACGCACAACAAGGTGTTAGAAAATTTATTGCCATCATTGATTGGCGTACACAGCGATTAACATTTGCCAGAACATGGATGTGCAAATTGCAACTACATGTGGCCGCAGTAGCAGCCACTGACACCAACTGAATGTTGCTGCAACATTTGCTGAAAATCGGCAAATTTATTAAATCCTTTTAGTTGCTCCTATTTTCAGCATTTTATCTCGCTGCCAATGAAGTTGCTGCTTGCTTTCTTGCATGTTGGCAACATGCTACTCCAACAGCAGGAGCAGTCTGGCATTCCAGTTCCGCATACCGATTTGTCGAATTAATAAATAAATTCTCATATAAAGCAAACTAGTTTGTGCGCAGCGTTTTGGCATAACCGGGGGTGTGGTGGAAGCTGCGAATGGAGGAGTTTGCCATAGCTTGTGTGCGGTTGCCACACTTCTTGCATAGCACAAAGCCAGTTGTTGTCTTGTTTTCCTCTTTTTTATATTTTTTACAAACAAATAAACACATACTATGGGGCAGAAAAATTGAATCGAATAAAAGGATGTGGACCTACAGCTCACGATAACAAGAATTTTCATTTTTAATTTGTCTGTGAATTTTATCATCCATCTGCGATGCGATACACGTGCGCCCAAATATAGTACTCACTATTTTAACGTAAACGTAAATGCAACTATGTACGAAGCTTGCTTAAAAGTTTTCACGAATTTTATATACAATAAGAACAATTTTCTTTCTTCATGGGTATCTATGCATCTTCTTCTAAGTAGTTACTCCAAGATAAGTGCCTCTCCTGCAGCATCTTTCCCAATACTAAAACACTCTTTTAACCAATACTATTGGCATTTTCTTCACTCCAATAACGTTTTCGTATTTTCTTGACGTGCTACTAGTTGTTTACATCTTCTCTACGCTCTGAAAACATTTTTTACCGCCGATAAACGTTGCTTTTGTCCGTGAGCAACAGTTAACATTCGGAATTTTTTGGAATAAGCACAAATCGAAGACGAGCCTAAAAACGCCCAAACAAACAACTGTCAACAATTAAATAGAAATTCAAAATGGCCGTAATTGTCAACAGAACTTAGGGATATAAGTACCAACATAACACAATAAAATAATCGAAAATGGAACACACGTGACCCCCGAAAACTGAAAATTCGCAATACTTTTCGTACAAATTGTAGATTGCGTTTTATATTTTGGGATTAGGGAGCAAGGAATATTAGCCATCGAAAATCGCTTTACTGTTATTTTAAAATATTTTCAATCTGTTCACTTTAGCATGACTAATTGTCGGATTACTTTTGGCATTATGTTTAATGCATTTTCAAAACAAGCAAGACCTCTTAGATAATTTTATGAGCACATTAATAAAAAGAAGTCATTCAGTACCAACTCTACGTTGCACTACTCATCAAGTAGAAGTTTTAAGTGCAGTGCAAAATGCAGTTATTTCAGTCGATGTTTTCGTGGTGAAGAGTAATCCGTGTTCGGTGCTTGTTTCTTCCTGATTTGGAAAGGTAACTGGCAAAAACATGGTGGTGAAATGTCCAGTTTTTCCAAAAAAGTGTTTGAAAGTGCTTCGTGGGCTTATACCCGGCTTATACCCAGCGATGCCACTTGTTACAAAGCAGCGCTATCGAATTTTGTTTACATTTTTCTCGCTGGTCCCACTAATACCTATATTTGGCCTAATCTTATGATAAGTCATATGACGATTTTGCAATTTTGGTTTGCGCACAGCATCAATACCATTGTGTCCGGGATAAGTACTGATTTTGGACATCCTTCACGAAATTCTTCTTGGAGTGATCTACGACGTTGTGAGTGGGCAGAATTTTTTCATTCTGGCGTGCGCTGTCAAATTATGAAATATAAAAGGTTTTCAACGTAGTAAATTTAAATATTGAATATATGAAAGATTGTATGGCTTAGTTCGATCACATTGGCGCCATCATTAGAATCTGTCGATATTTTGAAGAATCAAAATCATGAGAAAGGTTTCGAGGTTTTTAATTAACATCAGTCCTCTCTATTAGACGAAATTTTTAACCCGATTTTGGTAGGGTGCCAATAATTTTGCTTAATATTCGAAATGTTTGCTTTAAAGTCAAGCAAACTATTAGCGGTTTATTCAAAACACGATATTAACCGAGCACTTGCGTATATATACACACGAGGATGGAAATCATTGTATTCAATTTGTTGGACTAGCACTAGATGAATATACGGATATTGACGGGATGATAATGTCACCAGCAATGCATTTAGTTCACTCTATGTTTATTCCACTCCACTCAATCTGATTAAAATAAAATCAACTCTGACATTATTATACTCGAGCAGTTCCACCTACAGCGTCAACAGTTGATAGTCAATAAGAACTATGGGCTCGTATGCGCGAACTAATTTTCATTTGAAATTCAAAAAATACAAAAAAATAGTACGAACTTCATGGCCATATATTATATATAGACTTTAAATTATATTAAGCTCATATAAGTATATAATATCAAGTTTAAAGTTTATATTCAGATGTTTGTGCGAGTTGTAATTTTTAAATTCATCAGTTTTTATCAGCAGATTTAGAACTACAATAATAATATGTAAATTAGATTAAATAATTTATTACTGGTATACTTAAATTGTTTCTTATTAATTAGTAGGTAGTTTTTTGCCTCCGAAGAATGAATGAGATAAGATCAAATAAAGTTAGTTCAAAGCAAAAGCACAGAAATGGTTCGAATTGTCCGTTGACTTAATTATGGAATTTGTAATATGATAATTTTTAATTAGCACAATTAACAAATAAAAATAAAATATTCAAGTTTAATGCGAGTTGAAAAGACGATTTTTGTATTTCAAAATGTTTAATGAATTAAATAAGTTTCCAAATATCCAAGGTTACAGCGTGGAGTTGATTACTTTTAAGTACGTTATCACACATAAACGCATATCAAGTTGGTTTATGAATAAATTAATTATCACCCGTTTACATATATACATACGCTTAATTCAAGATATGACATCACAGTATTTTTTTGATGGATATAGGTTTACTGAAAATTTCATTACTTCCGAAATCAGAAAACAGCAGAAATAGTTGAGAGCGAAAACTGGCTGTCCAACTATAAAACTTTCTACCAAAATTTCCTTTATAACTGGGAGCAACAAAAGTATCATTGAACATAAATTGCCTGTAAGTGGGGCAAATATTAGCACCTACTCATTGCATTATCCCTCGCTAATTTGGGGCCATTGTTTGCTAATAAAGTTCGCTTTCGATACATTCATTCGGATAATCGCACCACCCGCGTAGCTCAGTGGGCCTTTCACCTGTTGAACAACAACACAGCAGGTAATTAACAAGAAAGCAAATAACACTTATATCTACTATATATTTTAGGCAACACAAAAACCCTTTCCGCGCAGCGGAAATCTTCTTGGTTCGAGTCGGTTATGAAGATAAAGACCAAATGTAGATATGTATTTCAATTAAACTTACCAAATTTTTGTTGTTGCTGGTTGAGAAACAAAATGCCTGCTGGGCGCCAGATGCTGAATATTCCAATGCACCGTTACCTAAAGTTACACTTTCTTCATATGTACACAGAAGACGCTAAAACGCTTTCAACTTAATCCAAATTTCAAACAAAAGATTTAATTATTTCGACGAAAAATTAGCGGAATCTGCAACAAAATAAGGAATAATGCTATTATATTTAATTCTTCAATAAGGTTCAATATAATAAAAAACACAATAAAAGAAAAACGAGAAAAGTTAAAATTAATAAAAGTATAATATTGTCCTTAAACAAACAATTCTTTTTGTGTATAAAACTGGACTAACAAAAAAAAAATTATTATACTGGCAGACATTAAAGTAAAAAATAGAATGATGATATATTATTTTATATACTAAAACGAGTTCCACAAAAATTTATTGACATTACCTGACGCAGTTAGAACTATAAAATTGGGAAAAGGAAGCTCATCACGACGTTTGTAATAAATAACTCTAATTGGAAAATCAAATGTTAAGATAATTTGCAATTGAGCGGAAAAAACTAAGTACACAAGCCAAACATTTCTTCTGTACAATATTTTAAATAAATACTTAAGGGGTTACATGGGTCTCACGGCTTCAAAAATTTTGTTTAGGTGTAGGCNAATATTTTAAATAAATACTTAAGGGGTTACATGGGTCTCACGGCTTCAAAAATTTTGTTTAGGTGTAGGCACAGATTTGAAAATTTTGGAAATTTTTGGTTTTTCTGGAAACTGTGTTTTCTAAATTGGTTCTCAAGATTTCTCGACAGATCTTAATTAAATTGTACACAGATCAGAACAGAGAAAAATTTCATCAAATTCCAAAAATGGAATATTCGCTTTTTTCCTTCTTTCAATACACAGTTTTTGGTGTTAATTATAACACATTTTTAATTTTTGATGAACCTTTAAGAAGTTCTCTCGTCATCATCGTAATGACCGAGCTTTATTTTCCTTTGGAAATTTCACAAAATCTTTATAAAATATATATGTATCTTTGAAATAATAAGAAATTTTAATAAAACCTTTTCAATTACTGCGCAAAAAAAATACTAAACGGCGATACGATCAATTTTTTTTACTTTCCTAATTTATTATTACGATTTTTTTATATTTTGTTTATTACTGGTTTATGTGTTTATGGAAGTAGCTTGCGAAATATCTGCACATTCCAATTTATTTACAATCAGACAGCTACCAATCCATTTTATTTAACTGAATTTCGCCCGTTGATATTCCGTTGCTGCACTCTCTTCGTTACACACTCTTTTTTCCGCACATATTCGATTGAATCATCGTTCAAACAACAACAACACTTTCACTTATCACTGCACTAATCATATTTCATTTATTCCCTCTAATTTCTCCTACCGCATAGAGTCATTTGTTAATTTCGCCCATAATTGTAATCTTATCTGCATACGATATGGCTAAGACATTGAAGCCATCGTTATTGCAGCGATAAAAATAACTGATAATGAAACTAATTTTTTTTTTTGTTACTTTTGGTTTTGTGTGGAGGAGTGAGTATACAGTACCCTGTCAACCCATTAGAAACAGGGTAAATATATGTAAAAATTTACGAATAACATTCTTGGACAGTTTTCTAGGCGAAAAACTTGAATTTTTTCCACTGCCTAAGCATTAAGTAGACTATGCACTACATGTTACCACGTGTCAAATATTAAACAAATGTACCGTTGCTATTAGCGGGACTTAAATATGAAATTATATTGAAATATTTACTTCACTTGGAGTTAGCATTTGTGATTTATGACTCATCAGAGATAAATTGAGTGGCGTAGTGGAAGGAAACGAATTTTTTTTATAAATGTTTGACTTTTATTTCAGAGTTTCCAGAGTTTTATGTATTAGGAAGGTATTTCTTTTTTAGTTTTCTGAAGCATTATAATATAAGCAATAAAAAATTAACTTTTTAGGAAATAGGTACAAAATCGGACATTTCAAAGAAAACCCAAAGTGCTATTGCTGCACTTTTCAAATATAACAGAACATCCTACAGAAAACAAAAAAAAAAAAAAAAAAAAAAAATGGAATGACTGCAGTTACTGTTCCTCGAGTCCCGAAAATTGTGCATACATTCAAATATTGCACCGTTGGTCGCACAAGTATGCAGCAAAATGCTGCCCAAAATGGGAAAATATCTGAGCCCATTCGACGTAAAGTAATGAGGTTCACTCTGTACTTGCGCAGCAAAACAGCTAGATAAAATTAAAAGAAGCTAAATGATGTCCATGAAAAAATATCGCAAAGAAATGGTGAACGCATCTTTTCAGAAAAAAAACCTTAAAACCGCCGTACAGAAAAGAAATCAAAATTGACCGAGCGAATGAAAAATCAAGGAGTGGTAAGGGTCAAACTTCATCAGAACTATACAAAGGTGGATTGAAACAAGGTAAACATGAAAAGTTATGAAAGTTCCCCGAAAGTCCACCTTTCAAAGTTATGCTGCTATTTAACATGACTTTCTCCTTTACAAAGATTTACTTTAGCGACGAAGGCTTGTGCGTCGTAGACCGTCTGAACGTTATGTAGATAACTGCATTCAAAACACGGTAAAATATCCCCCCAACGTAATGATTTAGAGCTGCATATTGGTGGAAGGTCCTGGACTAATTTATTTTGTTGAAGGAACTATGATTAGTGAGCAGTACACCAATGTACTTCAAGATGGTTTTGTACCATATTTGGTAACACTGAAGGGTTTCAGCAGTCCAGTACTCTTATACGCCTGCTGAGGTGCCTTGCCACACCTCCCGACGAACGACTGATATCCTTCACAATTTGGATATCAATATATTACCTTAGGCGGGCATTTCAACCGACCTAAGCCCCACCGAAAACTGTTGAACGTTTCTTAAAACAAAGGTATGTTCCCGAAAAATATCACAATAGCCCCACTCAAAGATAACATAAGGTATGTGTGCATAAATGATCCAGATTTAAAAATAATGGTGATATTTGTTTAAATGGAATGCCTCAAATAGTGAAGGCTGTTAATAAAAGCAAAGGTTTGTCAACCAAATACCAAATAAATTTAAGTTTTTATTAATTTTATGAAAGTATGATATTTCAAATAAATATTATAAAAAAAATTACATTCACATATCCTAATAACTTTTGGTTTATTTGACTTTGAACGCAAAACTATATGAATGATTGTCCCTGTTTCTAATGGGTTGGCGGGGTACTGTATATGTGATATATATACATATAATACATAAATAATGCTCCCTGTCGTGCTGTTGAGTGTAGTTAGTTTGCCTCTGAATAGCTCTTGTTCTTCCCCTTATGACGTTAGCGCACTATAACATTTCTATTTAGTTGGCCGTAAGCCAGCTTTAGTTTGAAAGATGATGAAGGTAATTACGTAAGGACAGAACTAGCATTAGATCGCTTTTCAATTAAATTGGTTTTTCTGTAATGTAAGAACCCTTTAATTGGAAAGCGACAATTTTGATAGAACATATAGCCGAACTGTTTTAGGATAGACTTTTCTACTAAAATGAAAAAATTCCAATTGTGAAAAGCTCGTTAACTGTTAAAAGGTAGAAATTGAAAACAATCCACAAAACATTAGAAATCAGTTCTAATTTCAGCTAATGCTTGGCTGTCTGTCTGTTGCGACTTTCAAGGTTTATCATGGAGTCGCCGCTGTGTATTTATATTTCTCATCTAGAGAAGTATACGGAATTTCCCACGGAGCCATTTTAGCACAGCTCAGAAAAAAAAAAAAAAAAAGAACATGTCAGCTTTGTACCAATATTGGAGTTAACCAAATAAGATTAGTGTTAATATGATAATTTCCAACAACGGGCACCAATTGAATTGTATTCGCAACTCTGCGTCTCTGCCCCTACTCGCCTATTTGTTTGTGTAATCAGACAAGCAATCAAGCTAGCGAACATTCACTGTGTAAAGAGCCAGACAGCTCCTTGTTCATCTTCGTCATTTAAAGCTTTTGCGACCACTTTTTGCCAACGTTGCATGCTACCTCATGTAGTATTAAGCGAGTGTTGTCGCATGTTGCACGAATGATTTGCCGATTTGCCTACTTCATGCATACAAAATCTCGTTTTGCCGCCAATTCCGTTCGCTATCTTTTGGCGCGATCGACATGCTGAGTGTTTTGGCATCTGTTAGATAAACGTGATAATAAGATTGATAACAGTTTCATTGAATTTCTCTCATTTGCCGCGTTGTTGATTTCCTCGTTTGAATAATTGCCCGGCTGACTGGCATCAGCGCGCAAATTTACATTGCGCTTATGTGGTAGTAATTGTTAACAGTTTTCTTTTTTGTTTTCCTCCGCCAAGCCGCAACTACATGGCGTTTGTATTTAGTGGCATCAACCGGTAAGCAACCATCTAGCAACACAATCGCAGCCGGCTTTCCTAATTAAGTCAAGGTTTGTTTGTGCGCAATTGTTACAGCTGGCCTGGTATTTCGCGTCTCAAATTTCTTCTTAGTGCTCCAATTACACAATTCTACTGTCGTTAATGGTCGCGCTTCGTTGCACATTTTATAATTTTTACTTTTATGTTATACTGGTTTTCTTATTTCATGCTTCAAATTTTTTGTGTTATAAAAAAGTACACTTCCCTCAAAGCGTTGCTATTTTTGCTTTCCCTTTAAATATTTTGATTTGCACCGCGAGTGTTAACCGTTTATTGCATGTAGACATATGTATGTGTTTGCGAGGAACGGAATGGAGCATCTCTTTAGTTAGTTCACTTAATACTGAATATATTGCATTTCATATGCCCATATTCATACATACTATTTTTAAATACATAGATGTATATGGAACGGTTGGGATCAATTTTAGCTAACATTTCCATAGTCTTCAGATATGGTAGATACTTTGAATTTTAACAGATACGGATAGATGTAGTATTATGAATAAAAATAAAATCTCAGTTAAACAGAAAGTTTAGTCAAATATGTATGTATATTAGTTAAAACATGTATATGTAACTCAAGAACGAATAGCCAAATTATATTCATGTTTGCTTTAAGGGGTTATATACAGTAAGGATTTTCAAAAAATCGATTTTTTTGCATTTAAATGTATATATATCTGAGTATATACACACAAAATTTAAAGTCGATCCGACGAA